GCCGATACCACTGACCTACCAATATTATCAGCATGTTGCCCAATTTCAATATTTCATTTTAAAGCCTTTATCTTCCAATGCCGATATTATCGTGTATCCCTAGTGCCATAAAGACTCCCCTTCTTTAGGAGAGGCCTGATGACTGCAATTTTCAAAGCATTTGGAAAAGTGCCAGAATGGTGTGCAGGTGCTTTCTTTGTGCCATCTAAAAACATGGTACTTATGTTCCACTGACAGGTGCTGTGCAAAAGCTTTTTTTAAACCTGGAGCTCATGCTATGATGTTATACTGAAAGAGTATTGATGAATGCTATACTTTTCTGATATCCATAGCTATTAGCCCCATATGATGAGTATTTGGAAGGACAATAAATGGTTAAGGGATGGTATAGCTCCTTTCTAGTCTTCCAACCACTCAAAGCACCTTTACACCACATGCCACATTCACCCATCCATGCACGCATTCATAAACTGGTGGCCAAGGCTACCATACAAGGTGCCACCATCTGTTAAGCATTCACACACACTCACACACCAATTGGGTGCAGCAATAGGGAACAATTTGGGGTTCAGTATCTTGCCCAAGAATACTCTGAAACGCTGACGGAAGGAGCCGGGGATTAGAGGATGACCTGCTCTACCTCCTGAGCCACATCCGCCCCAACACTAACAGTAGCATATCGTTTTCATGTGCCATATGCTGGTTGAACATCAGTTTACAAACCACTTGTCAAAGACAGATACGACTAAAAAGTGGGCATTGCACATTAAAACAGAGTGGCACGCCACCTGTATATGATGGCAGAAGAAAAAGAAGTACTTATTTATCCCCTTGGGAAAAATTTTAAAAAAAAATCACTCACATTAGCGGCATAACATAATCATCAGTGGCAAATATCAGTAAATATCCATATGGCAGTGACAGCAATAATAAAAAACATTCCTACTAAGCTGTTTACATGGCTAATGAAAATGAATATTCTACTGATACTCCTGTTTACATGCAGCTGTGCACACTCCTATTGACGTACCCTAACATGTTGTTTATCACATCAGCATATGAAAGAGGGAACGCTTGTCATTTTGCTTCTTTGCATCAAAATAGTTTGCCACCAGTGGCTGACTTGCTGGACCATGTGAGCACAGCCTCGCTCTTTCATTCCTTCAACCACCGTCTTAAAAATGTAAGCGTTGCATTATACATAGTACATATATGCCTCCTGTAAATGACAGGCCATACGTTGCAAACTGTCGGATGTTTAATCATTAAGACAATTATCATGCACATCCCTAGTAATAACCCCAATTAAGAAGCATATTCCCAATGTGCTGTATACATGTTCAAATAGTGCTATTAAAACCTAAATAATACCAGCATATCCCACTTCTTAATCGGAATATGCTATATTCAGAAAAAGGCCCAACTCGGAATATCTAAACGGAATATACTGTTTACACGACCTGCATCAAATTCAGACTACTGTCATCTTCTGAATAATGGTGGAATGTTAGTGTGCATGTGAACGTAGTCAATGACACAACATGCCACTTGAACAAGAGTATAAAACCATCAGCCAGTTCTTAATCTCTATGTCACTCCACAAACATCTCTACCTGACATGAAGACATGAGAACCTCTGTTCCTTACCTTATAAATGGCAGACTCACTCTATTTTGTTTAGCAAACATATTTGCATAAGAACTAATCAGCTGGCCTATGTATGTGAAATGTATTCACATCTTAAGAAGCTTCCACTACGAGGTGTACTTTGTATGTTCAAATATTTACCATAACACTATGCATAGACAGTGTATCTGTTAATGTGACTGTGCTGGATACAGGCTTAAGTCTTGCAGGAAGACTTACAGAAATACTAGGTTCAAAGTAGACTGACTGCCATGGCAACAAAATGCAATCAAATCTAGCAATATATCAAATTGTAAGAACATTTATTAAGTTTTAGTCTGAAAGGGGTTTAAATTGATCCTAACGTCAGGTTTGAATGACTTAATCGTTCTCACCTGTGAACTCATATTGACATGCCAACACACCTGCCACTGTCCCACAGTTCGAAACAAGGTTGGCTGCAGCTGCCAGAAAAAGAGCAAAGTTCCTCTGGTATATCATGCTATATCATGCAAGGCTAGACATGCATGCAGGACTCAGTGTCCACAACATTAGCCAGAATTATTAATTTTCACCGCATCATACCCAATGGCTGTTATTAACCCTATAACCCAGGGCCAGTATGATCATTTCCACAATTCCCTGTACACAGTACACAGAATTAATCCATTATGTTAACACTGTATCAGCAGCTTCCTTCCTCAAACTGAAAATATGAAGATGAATGAAAAACTGCACACTCAAAAAAAAAAAAATGGAAGCATTGAAGAAAGACTAGCTTTATTTTGGCTCAGGGTAGGGGCATCCAACTTTAAATGGCTGTATTTTGTATTTATTTTACTGTCAATATTTAAAGAAAACATGCCTTCAGACATGTTTTCTTTAAAACTTGCTAAAATGACACCATTTATCATAACCAAAAACTGTAAAAACAGAAATTATCGTTGGATTTTCAACAGGATTTGCAAGTTACTAACAAAGACCACAGAGAGTCATTAGCTAGCTAGTTAATAAGCAAGGGACTGTTCATTACTTATGTGGGAAGAGGTGGAGGTGCAGACATGTCAAATAATTTTTAAGCACTGGGGAAGGACTTGTGTTTTTATTTTGGCTTAGGAGAGGGGCATGAAACTTTAAATGGTTGTATTTTGTATTCATTTTACTGCCAGTTTTCAAGGGCATGTTTTCTTTAAGTAAAAAACCCCAAAAGTTAAACCATTTATCATAGCCAGAAACAGTAAAAATAGAAAATATTGTTATTCCTAAAGAAGGGCAGTCTTTATGGCAGTAGGGATACATGATAATATCGGGGTCGGAAGATAAAGGCTTTAAAATTAAATATTGAAATCAGCCAACATGCTGATAATATTGGTAGGTCAGTGGTATCGCCCAATATTGGCCTTAAAATGAACTATTGGGATCGACCAACATGCTGATAATATCGGCACATCATCGGTACTGGCGAGTATCGGCTTTAAAATGAAGAGCCAGCATGCTTTTTGTTAATTTGCACAATGAATTAATATTCCATACATTAGAAAGTATTGCATTTCATGTCTCCATCTGCTAATGGGCCATCAAAATAAGAGTAAGCATGCATAATATGATGTTAATTACACTACAGAAGAGACTTGATGATCACTAAAAAAGGTGGGGGGAAAAGGTGGATATATCGGTCTCGGTCATCCATCAAATCCGTTCCACAGGGATCCATTTTGGGACCCCTCTTGTTGAATCTCTATGCTTTCATTATGCCAAATCATATGATAAAGTATCATGCCATATATAGCCTACATATCACTTTCACCAGTTGATTATGAGCCAAAATGAAAAACATAAATCCTCTCCAGTGTTTTACATTTTCAAGGGCATGTTTTCTTTAAATATAAAAAAAAGCCAAAAAATGACACCATTTATCATAGCCAGAAACAGTAAAAATAGAAAATACTGTTGGATTTTCAACAAGATTTGCAAATGGTGAGTGACATTAGCTAGCTAATTAGTAACTAAGGTAGTGTTCATTATTTATGAGGCAAGAGGTGAAGGTGCAAAAAGGGGAGGCATGTTAAATCATTTTTAAACACTGGGGAGGACTTATGTTTTCCATTTTGGCTTAGGGGAGGGGTATACAAATTTAAATTTAAATGTATTGTATTTCCTATTTATTTTACTGACCAGAAACCAGACACTATAAAAACAGAAATTATTGTTGGATCATGTGCAACAAACATTTCCATCAGATTAAAAATAATAATAACCAAATCTAAGCTCTAAATAGTTATGTTTCATCAATATCACGTTATTTCACATCTCATTTAAAATATGGCCAAAAATAAACCACGTGCACAAACTAACCAGCATGCACAAGAGTGGAAAAACCAGGGCTGTTTACAACTCCAAGATTGCGTCTCCAACTGTGAACTTCTAACATTTACACATCAAAGGATTAGTTTTAAAAATCTAATACCTACTCTCTGGTGGAGGAAGGGTCGTGCATTTTCCATTTTTCTGAAGTAACTCAGGGAGGTTCAAGAGAAAAATATTTGTGGCTTTGAGGAGGGTAAAAAAAACACTCATAACTCTGCCACCCCTTTCCTCTGATAAGTAAAGAACAGTCCCTAAGCAGCTGTTTCTGCCAAGCATTTGACGTTATAGATAAGAAGCTGAGTCAATACACAACTATAGTGTTAAAACAACACGTATTTGGAGATGCCTGCCAGAGAAGATTACCTACACATTAAAGAGCAACAAAGCCTCTGAAGGTCCTTGGCCTCATTACTGGTGGCCAAGTATGAACCGGTGACGCTAGCGTACATTAACAAACAACTGGGCGCTAACGTTAACGTTACCAAACGACAAATCAGCTTGTTTACGGGAGCCGATACTATGCTGTAAGGAAAGACTTAGTACAAATGAGAAACCAAATAATGTCTCAGATAGCCTATTAGCCTCTGACATTGCGTTACCGACTGGGCAAAGACCCACATAACTGCAATGGAAACCCTCCTGCAGCGTTCAACAGGGTAACTTAACCTAGCATGGCTAGCCAATGTTAAATCAAACGGATCGCGCCCGTCTGAAACCAGTTAACGTTAATGACCTGACTATTTTAGTGGTCAAAGGCATGTAGTTATGTCTGAGTGTACTTGCTTGGTCCCGACTGAGTGACTTCCAAAGAACTGAAACATGGCTTCACCAAAAATTTACAGCGTGTAACGCAACACAACGTCTGGACAGTGACTGCAGCCACCATGCACCATCACCATGTCAGCCAGGCAGCTTGCTAGCTAGCTAACAGCTAGCAAGGCCAACACATGCAGGAGAGAAACGTTATTCCAGAAAGACGAATCATATCATTCGATACATAATCTCACCTGGGGTATGTGTTTCAATTGATAGTCTTGGCAAAAAATGCTTCAAATCATTCGTTGGATATCCTCACTGCCATTCAGTCTTGCTGCCCCGATTTGGTAGCTACTTGTTCACGGTGGGACCACTTCCTTTCACCCGGGCCTCTGCTACGCCAAAACATTAACGCAAACTCCGTAACTGCCATCCGTAATCAGACACGCCGTTCTACTAAAGTGAACGAGAATCCATGCCCTTCGTAATGTGCTGAAAGTCTGGAGGTCTCTAACGTTACAGCTCCACCGCCACCGGCCTCATAAGAGAAAACACTCAAGGAACCGTTGTCGGACTGCTCTTGCATATAATATGATTTTATTTTATTTTAGCAGCTGTTCTTGACATTGCACGAATTTCTATATTTTATTATTAAACAAACAAAAATCTATAAAAAAAACATGAGGTGCAGGAACACTTGATTTTTGCTAAATGGCACTCAGACATTCAAATAAAATATATCATAAACAGATAAGTAGAGCAAAGCAATTATAAATTAAACACATGACTATATGTTGATTACTGCATTACAAATATGAAAAAAAAAGAAAATACCACGACCTTAATACTTCCCAGAGGGTGTATTCACATATTACAGTCAAAGCCTTACATATACAGTGTACACATTATATTCAATTTCAATTCAATTTTATTTATAAAGCCCAATATCACAAATAACAATTTGCTTCAGAGGGCTTTACAGCATACGATATCCCTCTGTCATTTGGATTCTCACAGCGGATAAGGAAAAACTCCCCAAAAAACCCCTTTAACGGAAGCCGAAGCCGAAGAAGCCGAGTTAGTGACATGCAGTATGGCCGAGTTAGTGAGATGCAGTAACAGGACATGAGAGAGAGAGATAGAGAGAGAGAGAAGGTGCCCGGTGTATTATAGGGGGGTCCTCCGGCAGACTAGGCCTAAGTCAGCCTAACTAGGGGCTGGTACAAGACAAGCCTGAGCCAGCCCTAACTATAAGCTTTATCAAAGAGGGAAGTCTTAAGTCTAGTCTTGAATGTGAATGTGGAGATGGTGTCTGCCTCCAGGAAGATGATTTAACAGGAGAGGAGCCTGATAGCTGAAGGATCTGGCTCCTGATCTACTTTTGGAGACTTTAGGGACCACAAGTAACTCTGCATTTTCAGAGCGCAGTGTTCTGGTGGGATAATAAGGCACTATGAGCTCTCTAAGATGTGACGGAGTCTGACCATTTAGGGCTTTATAAGTTAACAGTAGGATTTTAAATTCAATTCTGTATTTTACAGGGAGCCAGTGCAGAGAAGCTAAAACAGGAGAAATATGATCACGTTTCTTAGTTCCTGTTAGTACACGTGCTGCTGCATTCTGAATTAGCTGGAGAGTTTTTAAAGACTTATTAGAGCTACCTGATAATAGAGAGTTACAGTAATACAGCCTAGAGGTAACAAAAGCATGGACCAATTTTTCTGCATCTTTTCGGGTCAGGATAGGCCTAATTTTCGCAATATTACGCAGATGAAAAAATGCAGTCCGTGAGATTTGTTTTAAATGAGAATTAAAAGACAAATCTTGATCAAATATTACTCCGAGGTTTCATACGGTAGTGCTAGAGGCCAGAGCAATGCCATCTAGAGAAACTATGTCATCAGATAAAGAGTCTATGAGTTGTTTGGGGCCAAGAACAATAACTTCAGTTTTGTCTGAATTTAACATCAGGAAATTGGTCCAATTAAGTGTTCCAGTCTCTGTAGCAGAATTTGATGGTCAATTGTGTCAAATGCTGCACTAAGATCTAATAAAACAAGTACAGAGACGAGTCCTTTGTCTGAAGCAATCAAAAGATCAAAAGATCATTTATACAGTACATTAAAGCATGTAAGCCATATGCATCATTTGTGCACAATGATCTGTGCTTTGTACAAATATCTGTGCATGGTGATGGTGCATGGTTGTAGGGGTGTTGTAGTGCAACACTGCAGACGATGTATAGGCTATCTATGTATCTATCTATCTATCTAGACAGCCAGTAACAATCTATAGCAAAATATGTTATAAAATATATGCTTACCCCCATAAACGATAAATTAACTACCATAAAACTGGATCAGGTTTTGATCCTCGTCCACTTTTGTGTCTGGATCGGCTGCAGACTGGCTTTGCAGAGATGGCTGCCATCTTGTTTTTACATGGATTAATGTATTGTGCACTTACTACCACTAGATGGCACAAAAAAGTGTCCATCAACAAGGACAACAGGTGTAAGTTAAGTAGAATGAAGTACAACATCCGGTAAACCCAAAATGTGATATCCTCGTATGAAGAAACAGGGTCTCAGGAGGGTTAATATGCAATGATGATTTCTGGGTAATATGTGTGTTGATGCTAACCAATGTCAAGTCTCCATTTGATCATGTGACAATGAAATTAACAGTATCATTACTTGGTGGGTTGTGGCCTGTCACAATAAAAGACCACTTTAAATGTAAACTTTGATTGCATAACTCAATACCACAGATTTCACTTTTTTTTTTTTTTGTTACACTGACTGCACGAATGTCCACTAGAGCTGAAGCAAGTGAACCGAATGTTCATGTTCATTTCACACTCCAACCAGCTTCACAACCACCAAAGTTGATTATGATGACAAGCTACTGTCCAACTGCTGTCAGTTTGCCGGCGTAATCAACATGTGTGGTTATGAGGATGGTTGGATGTACTGCCAAATCCATGGAAATGACATTGGAGATGGTTTATGAAAATGAAATGAGCATTCACTTTATGGGCAACAGCTCTAGTAAAGATCCCTACAGCCAGTATGCCAACAAATGTGCAATATCTGTGGCATTGTGTTGTGTGATCAAACTGCACATTTTAGAGTGGCCTTTTATTGTGACCATCCGGAGGAAAATCTGTGTAGTAATGATGCTGTTTAATCAGTGTCTTGATATGACACACCTGCCAGGCCAATGGATTATCTCGGAAAAGGAGAAGTGTTCAGTAATGTGGATTTTAACAAATTTGGAACCCGGGTGGGCAACAACAGCAACAGTTCTTGTTGTGTAGTGTGAATGCAGTGCGCATAAATCAATGTGTACTTGGATGAATAGTCCTACTAAGTGAGCTGCACATTTGCCACAGGTCATCACAGAGAGGGTGAGAGAGGTTGTCTGAGGGTCTTGTCCCATGTCCACCTCCAGACTGTCAAGCTCCAATTCAACGACACATTTGGTCTTCCTGGCCCGCTTGTTAAGTCTGCTGGTTTCATAAGCAAAACAGGGTAGTTAGGGTTATTCTTTATCCCTCTATGAGAACTCAACATGACCCGTCTCATTTTGAGAACCTTGGGTGGTTGAAAGTACAGGAACATGTCTCTCAGACAGAGTTGTGCATGGTGTAAGATTGTGCCCTTAACTTAATGAATTGACAGTACAGGCATGGGTCACAATTTTGTATTGTATGTGTGTGTATGAATTTGTATTGTATTATTGTTTTTATGATTAATACTTTTGTGTGTCATTCTTGCCACGTCAGATCTGCTGTCTTATACCCCTAACTTACAGATGTCCCCATACCCAAAGAGATCATAATGCAATAAGCCATAGGGCTTTATTGTGTTATCCTGAAATTGTCTAATTAAATCAGTCAATTAGTCAGCACCTACCTGGCACACAACTGCAAAAACAAACAAAAAAACAGTGCAATGGCTACCACAGACAAGTGAAGCATTCTCAGTTGCTGGTTGTAATTTTATCAAGCATGCCTAAAATGTTGTTTTCAGTGAGTAGTCTCAAATTTATGTAAGGAGGCTAGCACGGTGAGAACACAACTTATTCCTAACAGACAGACTCTGTACGATAATGCAGATAATATTATCTACAATATCATACTGTACTGTAAATGCTGATGTTCACTCCTGTACATTAAGCTAATGATAGCAGTTAAATGCCGTGTTTCCACTGTAGCCCTGAAGCATCCAATCCTACGTGGGCGGCAGTGTCTCAGTCCATCGGGACTTGGGTTGGGAACGGAAGCGTAGCCGGCTCAAGTCCCCATCCGGACCATATATAGAGTGTGGACTAGCAGCTGGAGAGTGCCAGCTCCTGGGCACTGCTGAGGTGCCCTAGAACTAGGCACCGAACCCCAAACTGCTATGGGCGCCTGTCCAAGGCCGCCCCTTTGCTCTGACATCTCTCTATTTAAGCAGGTAGGTCCTGTTTGTGCATGTGAGTGTATTTCGGGCTGTTAATTTAACTTTTTTTTTTAAGGAATTCTATCTGAATTAGATGTTGAGGTAAAACTTAGAGAGATTATCAACAAATTGTTAAGAGAATACTTTGAACATATCTCACATTTGCATTGGCAGATAAAAGAAAAAGGAAGATATTTTTTCCCCAATCCAACAGGCCCAGGTTGCACAGCCACAGTGTAGCAGTAGAACAGATCACTTTGGATGCTTTAGCCTACACATTTGTTCAGCCCTGCTGAAGCTGCTGACTGTGTTACATGATGTCCTCTAGGTGGCAGCATTACTATACATGCACATTGCTGCTCAGTCAGCAGGCCCACAAAGTGCCTTGAATACGTGTGCAGTATGTATTGAACTATAAGAAAATCTGTACATTTTAGAGAGGCAGACTCAGTGCTCTCAAATCTATTTAACACTACCTGGAACTGGATCTGGATTTAAGACCAATTTCACATTAAAAAAATTGACAAACTTTAGATTGAAGAATGAAATCTGGAAAATAACAACTTGGAGCCATAAGCTTCATCTCAGTTTATTAAAGCAAATATAACAACAAAAAATGTAAACACGACTGTGGATCAAATTGCTGTTACCAGTTTAAAGGCATGGTAGCCTTGATATCATAAAGGACAAGAAAATCACAAGTGTTTAACCACAGTTCATAACAATTCATTTCAGTTATGAATGTTATCTGCTTGACTGCAGATCACTGAATGCAATTTGATAATTGGTGCCAATTTGCCTTGAGCAAGGCATTGCATTTGGGGTGCCTGTCTAAGGCAGCCCCCTCACCCTGATATCACCCAATAAGTCCTGCTTGTGCATGTGTGTGTGTTTCAGGCTTGTGTGTATATGACAACAGAATGAAAAAATGAATTTCTCCTCAAGGATTAACAAAGTGTATCTTAAATCTTATGCTCACCAGCTTGTCTGTGGCCCTGTTTACACCATTTATTAACTAGTAATGGCAAAATGAAGCCTCATGAACCATTTTCTTTTTCTGACCTCACTAGATGGCGCTCTTGGTTTAAAGAAAAAGGCTGAAGGAATAGCAACTCCGTGTTCTTTCAACCTTTTGTTGGGAGGTGGGTCTGGGTCTTTCAGCAGTGTGTATGCTAATGTGTCCTGGGTCACATTGAAGGACTGTCTTCTCAGCTGATGTCCCTGCTTTCTGACTCCCTGCCAGATAAGCAAACTTTCTGTTGCTGCCATTCCACCAGTTAGACTTATGTCTGGGCCACACTGACTGTGTGAGCAGTGCATGTTGCAGAACCTCTTGTATTATTTTTTCAGTGTCCATGTTAACCAGTTAGAGTTGCCAAACTGCCTGCGTGAGCTAGAGAATAGGAGTCTTGGATTTTTTTTTCCATGTGATGCTTGCAGTTTGCAGCAAAAACATCTTCAAAAATCTAAATACTTGTTTTTAACTCAACACTTTGTGTTTCTGTTTAAAAAAAAGTGCTGTGATAACATGTCTGTGGACAGAACCCCTTCATTTGTTAACACAAGGCTTTTTATTTTGAAATATTTGCATGACCATGTTGACAACGCGGTGGCTTGCAGAGCTCCATCAAGGAGTGGAGTACCAACCTTTAATTGTGGAAATACAGTAGTTACTTCAGCAGGCAGCACTGCAGCAGTGATGCCACAGAAACAGCGCTATCTGTGTTAACACCACATGCGTGGGAGCCGTAATTCAGCAAAGTAGCCCTCACGCGCTGCTCACGCAGGCAGTGCAGCCCAGGTGTTAGAGCTGAAGGACCGTCCCCGGAGCTGCTGTCCTCTCAGCAAATGTCAGTTCAATTTCTGTCTGGTTAGCGCAAGCGTGGACAGCAGCACCTGTTAAACCGTCCCAACAAACTCACACCAACACCAAAATGGCTCAACTCCATCATTTAACCCATTAGCCACTATTAGGTAACAAGCAATGCTTACAGTTAGCCTGGTCAGTATGTGGGCGGACTCTCACCTACTGTCCCCAGCATAGGGCTCACACTCCTGCAGTGTCCTAATGATTGTGAATGAAATTATGTATTTTTTATTTGCACATTGAGCGGGGAAGTGAGATCCAATCGCAAGTGGTCACTCAAGACACGTGGAGACACATTCAAATGCTAGCTGTAAACAGATTTACTTAAAGCTGTCCACTTGTGATTGGGTCACCCAATATGCATGTCAGTACCAGGTGTAAACAGGCTCTCTAGCTGTGTCTGTCTGCTGTTTGCTGTTGAGCAGATAGTGCACATTGGATTTGTCATAGCATTTTCACTGAAAACAGCCGACTGTTGCTGCTGGAAACCATCATGATGAGAGCACTAAGACTGAAACAAAACAGTACTTCTTTAAGGTTGTAAAACTAAAACAATAAACTAAAAGAGGCTAAAAAGTTCAGTAGATCTGAGGGGAACTTAACAGTGTCAGGTGATCATTCTCTATGGTTTAGTCACAACAAGGGACCCCTTTCACATAACACAGTCATCTGACCCATTATTCATGTAAAATATCGATTAATGCAGTTTCATTCATTTTACGCTTTGTATTTAAATAGCTATACCTATTCAAAAGACATCTAGGTTCTGCTAATACCCTAAGAAGTCAAAACAAAACACACAAGAAGAGACAGGGTTTTTTATTGCACTTGACTGGTGCTGCTGAAACAATTACAACAATAGAGGTTCCAATACAAAAGCTAATATAATTTTACTAGGTCAGGCCTTTCAGTGTTTTGGTGGTAGGGGAGGCTAGTATGGTACGATGGCCATGGTCACTGGAGACACACAAACACACACACACACAGTCACACAGTCTACTGTATCCTTGTAAAGACCTTAAACTATCATCCTTTTGTCCTTAAGTCCAATCCCAGACTCTGAGGGACTACCATAGTGTTTTAGGACTCTGACCAGCGAGTGACTTTACCCAGCAGTTGCAGTCTCAGGCTGTCTGAGAGGCAGAGGCAAAAATAAATAAATAAAGAGGGCACCAGCTTGCAGTAAGTTGATGCATTTATTGTGAAACAGTTCCAAACCTAGAGGGCACTTGATCACGTTTTCTTGCACATTGAGCCTCCTGAATCTAATCCTTTTTCTCATTTTACAGTGGCATACAAAAGTTTGGGCACCCTTAGTCAAAAGTTATTTTACTGTGAATATTTAAAAGAGTAGAAGATGTGCTGATCTTCAAAAGGCATGACGTTAGAGATCAAACATGCTTTTCAACATTTTCAGCAAGATCATTGTATTAATTTTTGTTTTGTACAATTTTAGAGAGAAAAAAGGAAAGGAACACTATGCAAATGTTTGGGCATCTGAGACGTCTGAACTCTCAGACAACTTCCACCAGGATCTCAAACCTTAATTGGCTTGTTGACAGTCATCGTTAGAAAAGGCCATGTGATGCAAATTTCAAAGCTTTATAAAAACAAAGCAGGAGAAGGCTACAAGAAGACAGCGAAGTATTTCTCAGTTCATAATGTAATTAAGAAATGGCAGTTAACAGGAATTGTGGAGGTCAAGCTGAGGTCTGGAAGACAAAGAAAACTAGAGAGCTGCTCGTAGGTTTGCTAGAAAGGCAAATCAAAACCCTCATCTGACTGCAAAAGACCTGCAGGAAGATTTAGCAGGCTTTCGAGGGGTGGGGCACTGTTCTGCTGTGCAGTGACACGTGTACAAATACTGTATGACAATCATGGAAGAGTCATCAGAAGAAAACCTTTCCTGTGTCCTCACCAAAAAATTCTAGTGTCAGAAGTTTTCAAAGGAACATCTAAACTAGTCTGATTCTTTTTGGAAACAACTCCTGTGAACTGATGAAGTTAAAATAGAAATTTTTGGACTCAATGAGCAAAGGTATGTTTGGAGAAAAAAAGGTGCAGAATTTCATGAAAAGAACACCTGTCCAACTGTTTAACACGGGGGTGGATCGATCATCAGCATGCAAGATGGTCTACGAATCTCACAGAACTAGATGCCTTTTGCAGAAAGAATGGGCAAACAGTCCCCAAACAAGAACTGAAAGACTGAGCTGGCTACAAAAGCGTTTATAAGCTGTGATAGTTGCCAAAGGGGGCACTACTAAGTACTGACAATGCAGGGTGCACAAACTTTTCAGGCCGTTTTTCTTTTTTGTTATTTTGAAACTGTAAAAAATTTAAATAAAAAATAATCTTGCTTGAAATACTGAAATCAAGTCATCTTTTACTTGCTTAGCTATACACAGGAAATTTTGACCAGGGGTGCCCAAACGTTTGCACGCAACTGTAACTGTAAGTTCCACTGTAAGCATAGATTAACCCTTGCCCTAACTCAGACCTAATTCTTATCTAAATCCTAAACCTATAAAAAATGTTGAATTGTTTTTCATTCTTACCTAATGCACAGTATGTCAATTTTAACCTTAACTCTAAATTTGTAAAGACCAAGGCTGCCCTTTTTTTCTGTTTTTTTTAAAAACTGGGATCATGAGATGATTGTAATCATCATGTTTTGATCTCAACATAGCCAGGTTTGACAGAGGAACATATCTCACAATCACCAGCTTTGTTTTGTCACCATCCAAATGATACATGAATATGTTTTAATTTTAGCATGAATGTAACACCTGAAATTCTAGTCTATTTCACATCTTACAATAGACATTGCAGGGAACAATTACAGCTGCAGATACACCTGAAAACTAAACTAGCCCTTGGTTGAAGTGAGGACTGACTAAAATTCCTGTCAAACTAAGATGTGTCCTGTTTCCACACTAAATACCAAGTATGTAGTCTATCCAGCTGAATCAATATGCAGACTGAGCCCAGCTGATGTTTACAAGCCTGTCCCCTAGACAGTACATTTATAAAGTAATTTGCAGAGGTGTGGACTCGAGTCACATGACTTGGACTTGAGTAAGACTTGAGTCACAAATTTGATGACTTAAAGTCAAAAATGACTTGCAACTCAACTCAGACTCTAATACCAATGACTTCACCTGTACTTGAGCCTTTGACTTGAAAATACTTAATACCTTCCCCCAAACCCACAGATTAAAAAGTATGTTTTTTGAAAAAGTGTGCCGCAAATCAATTATTTTCCCTTCATTTCCTGAATCGACTAACATTAACACTATTAATTCCCAGCAAGTCAACATTTGATTCCCAACATCCACTTTGTTTGAACCTATCCAACAGCATCCAGTCAAGTTGCAGGAGAGAACCATTAAGAACTAATAAAATAATACAGTACAAAAACTATACGGTGGTCAGCGAAAAAGTAATTGCAAAATGTGCAGGTCAAAAATTACAGACGGAGACGCAGCAACTTCCAACCAACTTGTTTTGACACTCAACACAAATTAAAAAAGCATTCATGATTTTTGTAAATTGAATATATCATTAGTTGGTTAATATTATGGCATTATGGTGAAGAGCGCATTATGACTTGTTTAGGACTCAAAACACAAAGTTTAGAACTTGAGACTTGACTTGGGACTTGTTGGTCTTAACAAGGGACTTGACTGTGGACTTGCCTGCATTGATTTGGGTCTTGACTTGGGACTTGAATACAAAGACTTGATAGTTAACACCCTGACACACCAAGCCAATAGTCGGCAGTTGGTCAGTGTTGGGCAGTAGGTTAGCATCTGTCGCCCTGGTCTTTGCAGTGTGCCCCACAGTGTGGGCACTGGTCAGCCCCTGTTGGCTTTCTGGCCGATTAAGCAAGGTGATTTGACATCGGAGATGGCAGAGCCCGTTGGTTAATGAAATCACTCTGATTGGCTGGTCAGCTCAGTGGACAAACGCAAGTGAAGAACGCAAACTGACAACTACAGTAAAGGGGCAGGAGATCGAAACAAACTTGTTTAGCCATTTAGCTTTTTAGCAGAAACAGTTCATAATTGTTCGTTATTGTTCTATAGTGCACTGTAAACATCCTTTGTTTTTTCACTATCATTTTGTGTTGTTGATGTGCTAACTGGCTATTTAGCATCTTGAATTCATCTCATCTGTCTTCCAGTTTCCCTCTTTTGATGACAAATATAGCCTTCCACTGCCTGCTGCTACGATAAGTTATTTCCTCTCACGCTGGTGCAGTATGTGCATGCTATTGGGCTGTTGGCTGTAGTTTTGCCATGTGTTCAAGTAAAAATTTTGGGCCGAGACACAGGCGACATGGGTCGACATAACAGTCAGCCTTTGTTGCCACTAGTTCTTTGATGTTGGTTTGGTGTGTGTGGGCCTTTACTTGTGACTTGCAAACAATGACTTGGTTCCACCTCTGCTAATTTGTGGAAGCAAATATATTTTGAAGCTCTTCCAATGTTTTTACTGTTTCTATTGTCATTCACTGTTTCTAGAGGCAAAGCCAAAGACATCTTTCCACATCATGGACATTAAAATTTCTAACTAAATTGAAATGTAATGCTGTCCAGCTACCATTTTCAGCAGTTTCGAAAAGTCCATACTCAAAGTATCAGCAAATCTCTCAGTGTATTGCATTAGTTTTCCTACGAAGTACTTTTAATTTGAAGGTACTTGACAGTGGTATTCCAAAAATTCATGGACGTTTGTTGGTGCACATATTGCATAATTTTCCAACAGTGCAAAAGTACACAGACTTTTTCTATAGTTCTGGTAAAACATATACTAGGACAACAGTTAGTAAATAGTATGGAATTGGGACACAGCTCCAGTTCTCACAAGGATAAAGGTACAAAAACACATCCACAAACACAAACACACACACACACACACACACACACACACACACACACACTCTTTGAGATGTGATTATAATACAGTGTGCTATAAGGCTGACCCACTTTGTACTGAGCTGGAATGAATGCTTTTTGCTGCCCCACAGTCAGTGGGTGGAGGAGCTGTATTTGTATCCAGAGTTAACAGAGACCTGGTCAGCTGGTGTGGAAGAATGATGAAGAATGAAGGATGCTTGCTTTGTCATAGTGCTTCATTACAGACATTGTTCAAAAATAACATGTAGAAAGATATTTCATTGTAAAGCATTCTCTTTCCATGGACAAGCTCAAGCATAGCTCAATCACATAAAACATTTCTTTGTCATAAAACTTTTTAAAAATCCATTAGGAGCCATAAAATATTACAAATACATATTCTGCCTCAACTATGATACAATATAGAGCTGGGGTGAGTAGAGTTATACTAGACTTTGTATGTGTTAAAAACATTTCCACTACTGAGCTTATGGTGAGTTGTGTACTTTCTGTATGAGCACTTCCACCACTATCTTTGGCAGTTTTTATTATTTTCCAAAAGTGCAACAGATCAAAATTCCCCTTCATTCATACTGATGAGTTATCTTTACAATAGTACAGGTATATATGCTCAAAAAGCCCGGCTGTATCATATATATTCTTATTTTCATTTTCCTGCTTCAGCTCCACTATCTCCAGTTTTTATTATCAGCCTAAAGTACTTTTACTTTTAACATCTTCATCTTGGTTAAATGGCTATTCAGATAAATCCATAGTATATATGTCTATCTACAAATCACAGAGTGCTGTACAGTCATATTGTCTTACAATGTCAGCTCTGTCGGCTTTGCACAGCAATAAACCACTAGCTTCTACACTTCTGTCGTGTCTTTAAAATGGGAGCAGAGCTCCAACAGGATATCAGGGCCATTGTCAGGTGATTTTCAGAATAAAACTGGAATATTTTCAGAAACATGGCAATGTTATAAGAGGAAAATAGTAATACTGAAGAAAAGTTATGTTCCACAAATAAAGCTATTATTTCATGAGTAAATAGTTAATGTATGCAGAATAAAGTTAAAACTTTTTAAGAAAAGTCTTAGTATTAAAGTATAAAGTTGTAGTTTACTAATAAATTGACATATTATGAGAATGTGTCTTGATTTAACAAGGAAGTTATTTCTTGTAATATTATGACATTTCCTCAGAATTGTATTTCCATAACATTGATTTTTTTCTCAATACAGAATGACTTTATTCTAAATATGTATCACTTTTCTACAAGTAAACCTAACTTGTAATGAAACAAGGTTTTTCCTTTTAATGTGACTTTTTTTTCTGTAAATTTACGACTTAACTCTCAAAATATTATTACTTTTTTCTCAAAATCTCACAACTTTATTGTTAACATTTTATGTTGTAATATTGTAACATTTTTCTTGTAATTTTTTTCCTTAGAATTACTACTTTATTTTCCTAACACATTTTTTTTCCTCAAAATAATGACTGTATGTAACATTATGACTTTAGACTTGGAACATTATGACTTTTGATCTTGTAAAATTACTATTTTATTGTCTTGATATTTTCTTCTCGAAGTATTATAATGTTTTATTTCAAATCTCAGACTTCATTTTTTCCCCAGCAGTGACCCTGACACACTGTCGTACAGATTACTTCAAGCCACATCAAAAGCTAAAAAGCAAAAACCTAAGAAAGCTCTAGTAGTTTGAAATAAACATGTTTTAAATGCCTTCACTTGATCTGGAGTACAGTCAGTGTGATGCAGAAAGAAGAGTGGCAGTTGAGCTGTATGTGTGTGTTTGTGTACATGTTTGGTGATGGTGCATCAAAGTATATATATCTGACAAAATTCTGTTTTTTTTTCCTGTAACTATGTTTGTATGTGTGTGTGTGTGTGTGTGTAAAACAGAAAGTGTGTGTTCAGTGGTTGAGGTTCAGCAGCAGGCTGGGCAGTGTCTTCAGGTCCATCTGTGGCAGTAGCCAGAAACAGTACAGCAGCAGCCACAGCAGCAACAGCAGATACAGCTCCGAGTTCTCATTCCACCTACACACACACACAGGGAGGAAGAGAGAGGAGATGGTTGAATAAGGTCAGCAGAGACACAAAACATAAAGATAATGGTTGCAAGCAGCAGTACAGCAACCAGGATGTTGCCATGTTGTGATAGTATCAATGAATGAAAATTCAACCAATATCTGTAAATTCTTCACAACCTTGCAATTTTGTCCGGCTACCACACGTTCTCCACAAATTTGACCAACCATCATAATTTCCCATAAGTTTTACTAATCATAGCAGTCTCCCGCATAACATCACCAAACTCACTGCCTTTTTTCTGGTTGTGTAGATGTAGGCATGTGTGACACAAATGTCTAATTCATCAACAAAAAATACTGTTGAGGACTGTAAAAGGCAATTCCCTGATGGAATGTTGGAGATATGAGCCATAGAGATGTCTGCCTTCTCTTCAATATAATGGAACTGGATGACACTTGGCTTGTGGTGCTCGAAGTGGCAAAAAACATTACCAAAAAAAAAAAAAAAAAAATCAACAGCAACATTTCTTTCCAGAAGTCATGGACAATTTAAGAATGTTGGTTTTGGCTTGTAAGCAAATAAAAGCAAAAGAAGGGTCCACATCCATGTGAGGAGGTGAGATGTCTGTTAGAGGCATTTTACTGTTTGGGAAAACCTATTGGAAGCATCATGCCGCTCCAGTGTGTGATTTTAGACAGCATGCTGGCATCCCAGAAGCAAAAGAGGCGTGAGGGGTGTGTCATCACAGTCTCAGTCTCTAGAGTGACATGTAACGTATGTGTCAGAAGCACTTTATAAACAATAAAAATGGCTTTAACATAGTAATAACAATCATTTACTGTCCCCGTTATATGACAGCTAATCTCGTCCTCTGCTTGGAGGTTAAGGAGCTCCTGGACCTCATTGTTTTCCCAGCTTGTGGACATTTTCATTTGCTATTCTTCCTGATTGAATTAGCTGCTAACTGATGCTAGCTGCTTTTTAAAATAGGTGGGTCACATTCGTAACGTTGTCAAAAAGTCACATCCATCCCATCCGCGGTCCTTCCCTGCCAACTAGCAAAGGCACTTTAGCATCCCTGTGAGTACTGCCGTTAGCATCAAGCTGGCAAAGACGATTAATTCTTCATAGGGGAGAAGATTTGGGTAGACAAACATACCAAAAAATTCACAAATAGTGGTTGGGCCTTAACTGCATAACTGCAGAGGGTACCAGCTTCATTTGAAACAGACTACATTTGACACAGGCCTTTATCTTTCATTCCTGCTCTATTTCTTCTATTTTTACGTTTAATCTGCTTCTGTTTGCCCTGTTAAATTGAATGCATCACACCGTCGTTTCAAACTCGACACTTCCTGTATCCATTTAAAATGTAATTCTCCTTATCATTTTGGTTGAGAGAATCCCTTTAAATTCAAGGCTTTTATTGTGAAACATTTGCAGGAACTTGTAGTGGAGAATTTAGTAATTTGCAGTTTTCATGCAGTAACGCAAATGTAGCTCCTGCCATCTTGTGGCGCTTTTTGACGTTACTAGACAAACAGTTTGGCTGGGACATAAACAGCCACACTAACTGAAATAATAATAATGATGATAGTAATGACAATAAAAAAAATAGCACAAGAATGCTACATAAGTAATCCAATAACATCACACACGTAATGTAAAGATGACTAGCGATATTAGGTCGTGGACCAGCATGTAGTCGATCATGTCTGTCAGCCAAGTCACAGCAAGATTTTATGATTCCATAAATGCCAATCTGACATAGTTACTGTTGGAACCACCAAACATGTTGTGTAGTCTGAATCTGGCGTTATAAAGATGTTGTTCCGGCACTGTTACTACTTCCACTGCCTGCTTAAAGGCGATCTACTCTTATGTGATTGTATCTTTTATACAGAGGAGTCAGTGTAAAATGGGCTTTAATGTACTGAATATGAGAAGCATCTCCTTATGGACCTAACCTTTGGACATACAGACAAGTATCTGCTCACAGCTGCCCTATGGGGTCTAGGGGGTAATTGGCCGTTTTTGACTAGTTTTCATTTTACCTTTAAATTTCACCTTAAAAAAACTGTTTACCTTGCCTTGTTTGGTATCATTCTTTTCAGCACAACCTCACCTGTGTGACTTTACAGTTATTTTTTCATTTTGACATACTGTATTAACACACTGGACCTAAAATCACATAAAAAACATAAAATCCGAGTAGGAAAAAGTTAGATTTTTTACTGTGAAAACCACAAACATGTCTAATGAACCATTTGTGTAACTTAGAATAAAAATATAAATTGTAAACTTCAAAAACATATGTCCTAATTTAGCAAACAACAACGTTATATATAACTATTAACATTAAAATGCAAGCAATGCCTCAGACGTTTTTTGAACAACTATTTACAAAACAATCAGATGTCACACAAATTATTTGTCAAAGGGAAAAATGCCAGCACTCACAAATGTCCTTTTGGTAAATTTAATAAACCAACTTGGGTGGCAGTACCAGAAACACAGACATTTTGACAGAAAGTCTTTTTCATAGAAGAAGACTTTCTGTCAAAATGTCTGTGTTTGTCGCTGTTTTTGGCCATGCACCTTTCTAGGGGATTTATTTTGAGAGTGCTTGCTTTTCTCCTACGTGATTTTACACAAATTATTTGTGCCACTCTGAAAAACAGTTCCTGTCCACCACAACACACTACAGGAGGAGGACACAACAGTAGGACAACAGGAGGAGTGACACACACTGTGTGGCTCTGCTGCCTGAGCAAACGGAGATCCGGACCTGGTGGGCGTGCCCTGCCACACCGTCCGCTCCTCTGTGCGGACCTCCGAGTACCGCTCAATGCGGTCGTTGGAGGCTCATTTTCCTCTCTCCTCTTCCAAAACACACTACAGCACACACTAACTATACACTCCAAACACGCTAAACGTCACAAATCCCAACTCTATCTGTGATCGCGATCGCGGTCTCTCTCGCTGCCGTCACTCCCACAACTTCCCCCTCTTCCTCAGGAACAAATGATGTGTGTTGCCATACAATTTTGTGATTGGTTGACGTGGTGCATTTTTCAACCAATAGGAAAGGGGGTGTCGTTTTTTTTTGTTTTTTTTGCTGTTGCCTTCAGCACTTTAGTCGGCCGAACAGCCCGCTTTTACCGTTTCTTCCAGCATCAAACGCGGATCAAACGTGACAAAAATATTCAGGAAAATCATGGCGTTTATTATTTATCATAAGTCCGGTTTTATATGGCCTATCAAGAAGATTTAAAAAGTGGTACAAAGTTTGAAGTTTGCACTTTCCACACAAAATGAAACGGAGACTCAGCGAGGCTGCGTGTTGCTGCTACGTCGTCTCAAATCGGTCACGTGATTTTGACGCGCCGGCGCGGTTCTGGACCGCAGGGGGTTAAGCAACATTTATACTAAGCTCCAGAGATGGAGGACTCGAGTTCCACAACTTGACTCGAGTCAGACTTGAGTCGCAAATTTGAAGACTTGATACTCACTTGACTAATACTGATAAAAGACTCTTAACTGACTTAAACTCAGTATTCATTACTTTATACTTGACTTGGTGTTGAGACAGATGACTCAAAATGACTTGTTTTTTTAAATGAAATATTTGCAATTTTCTATATATTGAGAAGTTTTCTTTTTGAAACAGGAATTGGGTGATTTCCAGTTCAATGCACACTGAGAAATGTAGTAGTTGTGAAAGCCTGTTGTAGTGTACTAACTAAAATCAGAGGGCAAAGTTCTTACCAAAAATCAGAGTCAGCATTGTCAGCGTCTCTGGTTGCTGCAGTCATAGCTGTCTGATTGTCCTGTAAAAAAAATACAAGGCAAACACTCTCAGTATACAGTATCAGGGAGAACATGTATCCAAGCATAGCAATAACTCCATTGAGAAGGAAATGAAGTGTCAAACCAACCATGGACTGAGTGAAGCGAGCCCCCTTTCTGTGGCGGAGAACTGGAGGGATCTGGTTTTCATCCTGTCTGCTGGAACTTTTACTGTCACACCTGAAGAGACAAAATCCATTAGTTTAGGTCTCAGCATGAGCAAACAGGCCCAGGAAATACAGCAGTGAAAGCCATTATGAATATTTTGAGATCTCTGGACATTTACCAAATTTTAAGAGTAGGAAATCAACTAAAAAAAGCTGCTTTTCCATTTTTGGCCACAGAGCTCCACAACAAGCTGAAATTAACACGTGTTGGACATATTGTGACTATATAAAGTTCATATGGCCAACATCCAGTAGACAGACCAACGTAAGTATTCATGTAGAGCTACAGTATGTGTCTAGTAAGTGCATTATTGACTCTTTCAGCTCTATTTTGGTTTCCACCAACTCCTGAGGGAAATATCTGTCTCTTTAGACAGGGTTCCCACACATTTTTACGAATGAATTTTCAAAACTTTTCCATAATATTTTACCCCATTTTCATGACTTTTTTTTTTTTTTGAACATTTTTTAGAACAAGTTCCTTGACGGAGTCTCACACATTATGACAAGTATCAATACTCATATTGGTATCAAACTGACAAAATACAAAATACAAGGACAATCAAATAGCAAAGAGGTGAAAGAATATTCTTTGTAGGTCTAATTAGTACATCTAACCCAGTTGAACAGAGACAGTATTCTCACCTTTCCAAATACATTATAACAGGTGACCATTTTTCAAGATACAAGTCCATCTGGAGTCGAAGGTTTGCCGTTATGTGTTCCATGCAATTTACATCCTTAAGCCTTTGAGACCACTGGTCCAGTGTGGGTGGATGGGGCTTAAGCCAATTTACTGTGATCATTTTATGTGCAATCAATAAAAGAACCCTGAGCATAAACACACTATTTTTCCCTAAATCAGTTAACGATACAGTACCCAAAATTAGTTGCTGTGGTTCAATTGGTCTATTTAAATTCAAAATCTCACATATTTGTCGCTTCACATTCTCCCAGAATTTTTGCAATTTAGGGCAATCCCAGAAGATGTGGGAAAAGTCCCCTATTATACCGCAACCCCTCCAACAATCCCAGAAGATGTGGGAAAAGTCCCCTATTATACCGCAACCCCTCCAACACAGTGGGGAACAGTTATTATCATAACTAGCTATTACCAAAGAAGTTGGTAATAAGTTTTGAAATATCTTACTCTCAACTTCCAGCCAAATTCCCTCCAAACTGGGCTGCTTAAACATTTCTGCCAGGGCACCCAAGAACTCTCCCACTCCTCATCAGCAATCATGGCATTAGCTTCCAATTCCCATTTAGCTTTCACATCAAGTGTAACCACTGATGTATCCATAAGGATCCTGCCATATATACATGATATTGTGTTTTTAGTGTTCATCTTATTCTCAGCTATCTCAATCCAATATTGTTCAAAAATAGATGGAACTTTTTTAATTTTGTCCCACTCTTTGTGTGTCATCAGGTAATGCCGAATTTGAAAATATCTAAATAAATCCTTAGAATCAATGCCACACTTTGCTTGAAGTTGTGAGAAAGCCCTGAGAGTCATTCCTTCGAATAATTGATTTATTGTGATGAGGCCCTTCCCCGCCCATCTAATGAAACCACTGTCCATTTTTGCTGGCAGGAAGTCACAGGCAGTAGTTATTTTTGCTGCCCTTGATAGAGATAGAGGTAAATTCAACAATCGTCTTGTCTTCTCCCAAACCCTTAAATGTATGATTAACACATTCGTTTTGTATCCTAAGTTTACGCCTTACTTTTGAATTTAGAAAGGGAAGGATTGAGAGCGATATATTTTTTACTGAACCTTGCTCTATATGTACCCATTTTGTGTCCATATCTAATCTCATCCATGAAACCAATTTTCCAAGTTGTGCTGTCCAGTAGTAACTTCTGAAATGCGGCAAGGCTAATCCACCCTTCTCCTTGCGTGCACAGAGGACTTTGAGTCTCACTCGAGGCCTTTTGTTCTGCCATATGAATTTGGAAACAAGCTTATCCAGAAATGTAAAGGTAGATACAGGAACATTGATAGGTAACGCATTAAAAAGAAATAACAATCTTGGCAGGACATTCATCCTGATAGATTCTACCCTCCCAACTAAAGACAAAGGAAGCATCTCCCATCTTTCCAAGTCATTTTTGATAGAAAAAAGAGAAATAAGTTTATCATAGTTTGCTTTATATAACTGATTTGAGGTATGGGTCAGAATAACTCCCAGATACCTAAAGCCCCCTTTTGACCACCTGAATTTCACCTGTCTATCCAAGCACGCAGGCCAGCTTCCTGTTATCATCATTGCTTCTGATTTCCCCTCATTAACCTTGTACCCTGAAACCTCCCCATAGTCCACCAGGCATTGCATAAGAGCCGGTATAGATGACTGTGGATTTCTTATAAACAAAAGAACGCCATCCGCGAACAGTGAAATTTTATGCATATCGCCTCCCTCATCCACTATTCCCTCAATCTGATCATTTCCCCTTATTAACTCAGCAAGCGGTTCAATACACAGTGCAAACAAAACAGGAGAGACCGGGTTTCCTTGCCTAACACCTTTTTTAAGATCAAAAAATTTGGAGCAGTACCCATTAACCCTAACCCTTGATATTGGATCTTTATTCAGGGTATTAATCCATCTTATAAATGTGAAATTGAATCCCATTTGTTCCATAGTATAATTCAAATATGACCAGTCCACCCTGTCAAATGCCCTCTCAGCATCAAGACTGAGAAGCACTGACGGGTGGGCAGAATGCCTTGCTACTGATTGTACATTTAACGCTCTTCTTATATTGTTTGCTCCCTGACGACCCGGTATAAAACTGGTCTGGTCAGGATTAATCAATTTACCTAAGTATTTCTGCATCCTATTTGCCAATATGGCACTGATAATTTTTACATCATTCCCCAGCAAGCTGATTGGCCTATAGGCACCACAGTCCAGTGGGTCTTTCCCCTTCTTATGTAAAACTGTTAACATGGCCTCTGACCAGCTCTTTGGTGGGTCATTTTCCTGTAAAGCATAATTAAAGACCTGACAAAGTTTTGGCACAAGCTCCTCCATAAAGGCCTTATAAAATTCACCTGATAGACCATCTGTGCCAGGGGATTTGTTGTTTTTCAATGACTTGATAACGTCTTGTATCTCACTTTCTCGAATAGGAGCTACTAATTCATCCGCCTCAGACACAGAAAGTTTCGCTAAATTAAGATTTTTGAACATAACTTCCAATTTCCTTTTGTTTTGTGTTTCTTCTGGTGTATCATAAAACTTTTTATAAAAAATTTGAAATGCCTCAGCTACTTCTTCTGGGTGTGAGACCTCGGTCAAAGATGTTGGGTGTTTTATCTTAGGAACAATGCGAATTGACTGCTCTTTTCTCAGTTGAAAGGCAAGTAGCCGGCTCGCTCGATTTCCCATCTCATAGTATCTTTGGCTTGTGTATCGAAGCGCTCCCTCAGCTTTTCGTGTGAGAAGTTCATCCAAAGAAGTTCTACAGTCTTGTAATTGCTTCAAAACACTTTCATCTCTGGTCACTTTGTGTTCATGTCCTAGTCTTTTTATATCACTTTCCAAATGTTTTTCCCTATCCATTCTCTGATTGTTTAGTTTGACAGCAATCTCAATACACTTCCCTCTCAGCACTGCCTTCGCCCCATCCCAAAGAGTTGAGGGGGATACTGATCCATTATCATTAATTGTGAAGTATTCGTCTATAGTTTGTTTTATTTGTTCTTTTATACTTGGGTCCGTTAGCAATGAAATATTCAGTCTCCAGTATTTGAAGTGCAACTCAAAGCCTAAATTTAATTTCAGTTTTACAGGACCATGATCAGACAAAGTAATAGGTTCAATAACACACTCTCTAACTTTATACAGACTCTGCTTTGAAATGCAAATCAGATCAATTCTAGAATATGACCCATGTACCATAGACAGAAAGGAGAAATCTTTTGTTGTTGGATTCTTGGCTCTCCAGACATCCACAAGCCCTAATTCTTCCAACATGTGTTTTGCTGCTTTGGATTTCCTGCTAGGAGGTCCATAATCAGAAGGTAATTTATCCATTTTCACATTTAAAACACAATTAAAGTCACCCCCTAAAATTATGGTACCTCTGGCTTCCCTTGCCATTACAGATGCCACTTCTTTAAAAAAGGTAGGGTCATCTTCATTAGGAGCATAAATATTAATGATGGTTAACTCTACTCCATCTACTGCTCCTATAATAAGTATGTATCTAACTTCTTTATCCTTTACTTCTCTCTGAAATGCAAAACTAATGGACCGACTAATCAAAATTGCCACTCCTCTCTTTCTGCTATTCGAACAAAAGGCATAGAATATCTGTGTGACCCAGTCTCTTCTCAGTTTCTAATGTTCTACATCATTTAAGTGAGTTTCCTGTAACAACCCTATTGAGCAATTAAGTTTCTTCAACTGGGTTAAAATCTTTCTTTTTATAGGATTATTTATTCCTTTCACATTAAAACTGACAACCCCTAAATCAGACATAAATCGACATTCCTTGTTATCATTTTACTTTCCCCAGATTCACCTTTGCATAAAGTAATTGACCTTACCATAATATTTACAAAAATCACTTGTGTGGACTTAACCAACCTGTCAAGGATATAGGACTTTTGGAAGTCACATGTGACTTCCAAAAGTCCAGCTGAGTACAGAAATGTGTCCAGCCCCTGTTGTAATGCAGGCAGAGGGTTGTGACTTTTAATTCCCTCTGGGCAACATGCACTAAGTGCTGACCCAACCACAGACCAAAGAAAAAGACTAAATCCTTGGTGAGGTGGTGATCCCATCTTGGGTCTCATCATAAAAATAAAAATAAGAACAGAGTTAACTCCCCTATTTTCTTACTAACATTCCTATAAATTGCACTTATCTTCAGCCGGTTCAGCTGTTTCAACTATAGACAGTGATACACATAACACCTTTCTATTGTCGGTGACAATGTGACAATTTGTCACAATGTAACAGGGCGACCGCATCAAAATATGTTACCTGAGCACAGCACTCATCATTTTAATCCCGCAAAACGGACCGCAGGTCTGCGGCAGACAGTGACGTGTCCTTTCTTTCTCTCCTCCCGCCGTCCTGTCTTTGCCATGTCTCCCTTGAGAGCTCCCATTCCAGCCTCTCTCTCTCGCTCACCTGCACCGCGATGCCCAGCTCCGTCAATGTTGGCGCAGCCTCCACCAGCGTAGGGAAAGTTTTCACTCCCGACTCCAAGTTGACTCTAAGCTGCGCCGGGAAGCGGCACTTGGCCTGGATCCCCTTCTCCTTCAGTTGCTTAATCACTCCACGGACCCGCGCTCTCTTCCTCTGCACTTCTGGAGAATAATCCTGGTCGAAGTAAATCACTTCTCCTTGAAACTTAACTTGTCTTTGGGCCCATGCTTGCCGCAGCACTGCTTCCTTTACTGTGTAGTCCAGAAACTTCACGATAATGGAGCGTGGAGGCGCTGATCTGGCAGGCTTTAGTCCCAGCGATCTGTGTGCCCTCTCAATCTTTATAATTACCTCGGGCGGGAGTTGTAGTAGCCTGAGTGTCAGACTGAAGCTCCCAGAACCTTCAGTCTGACATCGCCTCCATTGAAGGCGATTTACAAGGGGGAGGGAATTTGATTTTTTCCCTAACCAATCAGTAGAGATCAACGACTCACCCAGAATCTGACGTCATTAGTATCCATGCCTTGGGGGTGTCGAAAACAAGTGAGCATTGCCCATTTAAAATGTCTCCGTCGTCGTGCACGCCCAGCTGCATTGCCGTTAAATCCAGTTTAGCAGCTTCCTTAATTTGGTCCTCCATTAACGCGAGTAGTGGCGAAATACCTCGATAGCATCGCTAATGTGGTCTGTAGGATCTGTAGCGGTCGCCGTTGTTGCTATCCTCACCAGTTACCCACCGACGTACAGCTTGACATCAGCGTGGCGCTGATTGGCTAATCGCTAGACCCCCGGCGTTCATTGGTCCGTCCATCGTTTGGACGAGATAAATCGCAAATTCATTGAAGTATGCCAGACCAGAGATGCAAACCTACTCAGTTGAGTGGGCGGGGTCTATGGTCTGGAACCAGCCTAGAGTTGTAGCGCAGTCTCAATTAAATTCTTCACAAAACCAGCCGTGTCATTTTTCTCGCTTTCTTCAGGGACTTGATAAATTCTCAAATTGTTGCGGCGCATTCGGTTCTGCAAATCATCACACATAGGCCTATTAGTCAGAGCCGCCTCGCGTTTCAACAGGTGCTGCAGCATCCTCTCATGACGCTGGCCGGTGTCCTCCGCCACGCCGACTCTCGTCTCCGCCTCCTTGGTTCTCTGTTCTAATTTCTCCATCCTTTGGTTCAAATCCGTGACCGACACTTCCAGTCTGGACAACGAGGCCTTAGTGTCTGCAAATGACTCCTTACTTTCTTTCCTCAACTCTCTTAACTCCTGGAGAATGTGCTCCGTGTTCATTTCGCCCGCCTCTCCACTCGCCTCACTCGGGGAAGATGGCGTCCCTTTTTTTCCTTTCGCTTCTTCTTGCGATTTTTGCTGTTTCCCTGCGTTCCGTGTGTCTCTGACCGTGCTCATGTTAGTCTGCAGTAATTTGGGTTCACCCTCTTTCAATTAAAATGTCTACAAACAGCAAAACACCACCGATTTCCAGGGGAGCCCACACTCCGTGCGTGCAACTCAGAACATGGCGTCACCGGAAGTCCTTCATGACTTTTTTATGTACTTTAAAATAGGCAGACCAATATTAACCACTTCTCAGGAATTTGCAGATAAGTAAACCTGCTCGCGCTTGCTAACTTTGCTTGCTTGGTAGACATGACAGCTGCCAACTGAAGATCTTACTGATGTCAACGATATGTGTTTGGATTATAATTTTGACAAATTTGTTTGCATTTAATTCTTGTTAACCAAATGTTTTATAGACATGTCTGATAATTGGTGTGCGACTGTGCCTGAACCTGAGCGTTCGCCATACCTTAGAAAGTTAAGGTTGATCGGCATCATGTTCTGTCAGTCTTCCCCTGCCCAAGTGGATAAATGACTCAACACAGAGGTTAGATATGGTGTTTCACATGATAATTGTGACACATCAACAGTCATGCAGGACAATACTAGATTTTCAAGTAGTAATACAAAGAACTTATTTTGCAAAACGTTAGCTATGTTTCGAATTTTTATGAACACATTTAAAACAACAATGTATATTCGAAATTTTTTTATTTCATTTTTTATAAACATACATTTTAGTTTCCATGTAGTTATTCATTTGTTATTGTTCAATAGCTCTTGAATTATAATTCAAGGCTAAAAAGGAAGTTGATATATAATGCCTCATTAAATTTTTCTCAAAAAGGATACAGATAAATGTTTGTCTATATGTGCATCTTCATAGACATGTATGTTGACATGGACTTGTATGCCTACAAAAGAATGTCAGTGTTATTTTTATTAGTTTTATTTAGAGAGTTTGTGAACCCATCGATGACAATAAAGAGAGAAAATAAAACTTAAGTTATGCTAAAATTTTGTTTTCCACATTAGGTGAAATGCCTGCATCCTCATGCACTCATCATTTCCTCTGAATCCCCTCTGTGTTGGTACACAATTTGACTACCGCATTGAAAAAGACTCAAGGCCCTGTCTAAACAATCTATAATGCATGGTCTGAAGTACATGACACAAGTACATTTGGGATGTGTCCAACCACTTACGCTAGTTAAACGCGGATAATCTGGGTGCTAAGTAAGGTGCAAGGGGCAGAGGGGTTGTATTTATTCCATCAAATTATCATTGGTGTATTTGGGTGTAACATCAATTCAACCAATCAGTCAACTCCCATTCCCTTTAAAAGCCAGGTGAGCCTACACTAGACACACTGCTATTTACATGGAGGATTTGGCAAATCGAAGAAGCAAGCGATATTCTGCTGAGAGTAATGTGGTAAGAGCAGTAATGTTACAGCAGTAAATATCATGGAAATTTAAGCAAAAAAAAATTAAAAACTGTAGCTATAAACTTGACAATAGAAACAGAACTAAACTTTTAGCTTCTGAAATAATCAATAAAGTTACGCTGCTCCTCATGTGTAAATGTGTTCAGTCCCTGGCTCCTCCAGTTCGCATGTCAAAATATCCTTAATAAGATACTACACCCCAAATTGCTTCCCACGGCTGTTGTGAGTGTGTGTGTGTGTGTGTGTGTGTGTGTGTGTGTGTGTGTGGTTACTGAGTAGCAGGTGGCACCATGCATGGTAGCCTCGGCCATCAGTGTCTGAATGGGTGAATGTGACACTTTGAATAATCATAAGACTAGAAAAGCACTATACAAGTGCAGTCCATTTACCATTACTATATACAGAGACTATTACAGAATGTAAATAAATTGAACAGCTATTACTGAGAAAAAAGCTGAAAAATCTTGGGTCTCTGATATATGAAAGTCTGAAGGGTTATAACTACTGCTGAATGAACTTGTACTTCTCTGGTATTAATTAATTCAACCACATTTATAAGTGTAACCCTCATGTCCTCTCTTCATGCCACAGTCTCTCAACCCTCATAAGGCCTGTCTTCATTCCCATCACCAGCCTACATACATAACTTTGTTCAGTACATTTAAGGAGATATCGGAGCAAAGTGAGAGAGTGCAGGTCAGAACAGTCCCATCCATTGCCATAACACTACTTTCCCCCAGGGTCCACTGTGTTTCTCAGTGTACCAGGGAGCTGACTAAGAATAGAAAGCCTACCTCACAGGCTCTGTGTTTTCCCTGGCAGAGCCTGAGATATGTTGCTCAGCCCCACTGAGATCACGGTCGTCTGCCGGAGCATCAGCACCCCAGAGTCCTTCTATCTTCTTTCCAGGCAACAAACAGTGTTCCTGGGATTTAGATGCTTTGTCTGTCTCCAGGTTGGTCTTACTGATCACCTAATAAGAGCGAGACACAAAAAGACACATTTTTCAGCAGCTTAGTAACATACAGGAGAGAGACATTTCAACAACGACCGGCCAAACTGCCACAATTATCTATGGTGTATCTCTAAACCACATCTCAGAATATTGATGAAATGTAATGTGGATATTCATGGTCCCCGGAGGATGAATCTTAATTCTTTAGTGGCACCACCTTCAGACCAACACTTCTTAAAGTTGTAGAAGGAAATATTTTATTCTAATGGGCTGATTAATATGGTTACTGAGCACATTCATGCTCTGTAAAGAATAAACCCTTTCTATTTTGGGCACTCTATGAGCTTTCTTGTAGAGCCCCTCGCAGGCATAAATGTCGGTGCAAGACATTATCAGAATATTTTACTTTACTCAAGCAAGGGAATTCAAGGATGTCAGGGTGTTGTTCACAAGTGAAGGTAAAATGGATTGTGGGATGGACAGGCGCTTTGGTGCAGTGTCTGTAGTGCTGCCGACGCTGCGCTGGACCGCTGTGGTGAAGTGGGAGCTGAGCTGGAAGGTGAAGCTTTCAATTTACTGGTCCATGTACGTCCCAACCCTCACCTATGGTCATGAGCTTTGGGTAGAGACCAAAGGAATGAGATTGCGTTGGGTGGCTGGGCTCAGCCTTAAGGTGGATTTATACTTGTGCGCCACACTATGCAGAGCCTACGCTGTAGCCCATGCATATGGCCTATGCTGTTGTGAGCATTTATACTTGTGCAGTGGTGGTGTCCATGTCACTCTGCAGTTACACCTACAAAACACTAGTCGGCAGTGGAGTTTCTGTGAAGTGCTGTAAAGTTTAGTTGATTCGAAACACACCCACAACACTCATTAAACATGGCTTAAGAGTGACAAATTGGCCTCACTTTAACTGGCAGCATTTACAGACAAAGCACTTGTCTTTTGCTGGACACATTTTCCCCACAAATACAACATGCTGATGTTTTTAGCACCAGCCTATGGCATTTTACATTGTATAAATTAGCTTAGCGACTAAAGGACTTTTCCTCTACTGATATGAAGACTTAAAATGCTATTTTTTGGGGGGCTTTATTGTCTTCACAATTTATTGTTTCTTATCTGTGAAATAGAAGTAAATAAAAGCTTTGTTTCCACTGAGGGAAAAGATTTTCAGCTTACAAAAATAGACAGAAGGTCTACTTGACGTGACATGCAGTTACATTTCTAGGGAGGTGCACGTCAGGCTACGGCGTAGAAGTGTAAATCCTGCTTTAGAGATAGGGTGAGGAGCTCAGACATCCAGAGGGGGCTCAGAGTACAGCTGCTGCTCCTTCACATCGAAAGGGGTCAGTTGAGGTGGTTTGGACATCTGATCGGGATGCCTCCTGGGCACGTCCTGTTAGAGGTGTTGCTGGCATGTGCCACTGGTGGGATGCCCCAGGGAAGACCCTGAACACTCTGGATTTGAGATTACATATCTCATCTGGCCTGGCCTGCTGCCCCCACAACTCCGCCGCACATAAGCAGATGAAAATGAATGGATGGATGAATTTTACTTTATCTCATTCATACTTCCCAGATGACGAACCTTTGTGTCTACAATGACCTCCTAGCTGTTGCCATTTCAGTGTGGTTTTAGTTAATAAAAACTTAATAGTATCGTTTTGGTCACCTAAAAAAACTCTTGTTTAGCATTTTCTTGTTCTGAAAGATCTTCTGAGAAGTCAGATGTTCAGTTTTTTTGTTCAGTTTTTGGGTTATAATGGGTGATAATTCAATATTAGCCTATTGCTTATCATATCTGAAATTTCTGCAATTCACATGTCACACAATGCCAAGTAAAATCTGTACAACAATCTATCACAGTGTGACATCTTGTGACGGAGCATTTATTTGTTAAAAATTATTTAATTTGAATTTAGTGAAATACGGAAAAAACATTGGACTCAAATGGCTTTAACAGGAGTGTAAATCATTTTCTCTGATTCTGTTAATTACCATATATGTAGCTAGTACTTATAACTGGCAGTTGAAGTTTTCAGGCAGTATTCACTGTTGGTGCTACTCTGAATTTTCAGTTTTTTATATTAATAATTTTTAAAAACAGAACATTAGTATGAGTACATCACATTGACTGGCCTCGAAGTGCATCTGTGGAACATAATGACTGGATGACTAATGTCAGCAGGTCATCTGGTCAGTAGGTGAGATGCTGTAGAGGTGTGAAATGTCACATTGCTTCACGTTCCTGTTTGGGCAGTTGGACCATCTCACACACAACGCACGCACAGACACACAGACACACACACACAGGCACACTGAAGGCAGTGTTTTGTAAAATACCTACTACTACTACTACTATCTGCTTTACACTGAAAGAAAAACACAGCAAAGCTATCCAGAGAAATAAGACGTGTGTTAATTTAACTTTGATTTACTCCATGAGGCCATTTTATCAAGTACAAGTAAAACTGCAAAACATTCACTCCTTCCAGCTTTTCAAATGTGAAAATTTACTGCTTTTCTCTATTTTATGTTAATGTTCATTGAAACCGTGTAGGGCTTGGATTTTTGTTTTGACAGAATAAGCTATGAGAATATGTCATCTTTGACACTTGTATATATTAAATGAGCTATACAAAAAAAAAAACAGTACATCAATCTAAAGTAGAAACAATCTTAATGCGTGCGGTTTCTGTTTTTCAAACTGAGGTAACACTAAACTGAAATAAGTTCACATGCTAATAGGGCTGATGTATGGTATTCACTTTCTTAGTTTAGTGTTGTCTCATGCTTATTAGCACAAAACACAACCCAGCTGGCAACAGATATTAATAAGACATCAAAAGGATGTTGAATTCTTGCACTGGACAGATAGTAAATTTTGGTTTGAATGCTAATAGAGTTGACAATATTATAAATGTCTAATGATGTTAGAATTTCATGCTATGTGGACGTTAATATTCTGACGTTTTGCTGACATTGGGTTTTGTTCTCCATACCTTACGACTAAATGTCAGTATTCTACATCAAAATAAAGTTGCATTTGGAAGACACTGAATTTTGGTTACTTAAAAACACAACTTGAAACTCACAAAATATCGATGTCAAATGTCGTCATTATCCCACATCAAACTTATGACATTAAACATTGACAACATCCAATTTTGGTCAACTGATGTTACAACCTAAATTCAACAAAATATCAATCTCCAACAATGTTGGTGGCCACAGCTGGGAGTATGGACCCCTAAAAATAAGATTTTTTAAAAAGTAGGGGCTCCATAGCTTAGACAGAATGTAATTAGTTTTGTATGCATCTCATCATAAATCAAAGTACTGAATAAATTACCATTTTGATCTGATGACGGTGCTAGATGAAAAGTCACCGTAGTTATTACAATTTATCCAGTGGGTAACATAAATATATGTACCAAATTTCATGACAATCAATATAAAGTCATTGAGAGGTTAGCTCACAACCAATAATTTAGACTATCTGTAAGAGATTTTCATAGCAATCTGTTTCTTACCACAGGCCTTAAAGTGAAAATTTTTCCTGAGCCTGAAACCTGAAACCAACGCTACTTAGCTCTCTCTCTCTGCTCTATCGGTAGACTACTGCATCGACCTGTTGCACAAACAGCGGAGGCACACGCATGAAAAATAATTTTCACATGCGTGAAACTTTTTTGTATGCTTGCAAAGCACAGCCTGCTGGGATGTTTCTATTATCTACTGGCACCAGAAGGGCTCTTTAGGTCTAAGTACATACAGGACATTTGTGCACAGTAATGAGCAGGTGAAATGTCTGTCTAGCTTACATATGAGGTGTCTCAAGATTTAGGAAAATACAATTTTATTGAACATAATAAAAGTATAACGTCAGTTGACATGCTGCTGTTTTGTGCTATGACCTATTTATGTGCAGGAAGTTGTCATTTACGTGACAACGCCTGAACGCAACACTGGCTCTGCTCCAATAGTGCCGTGTTGCGTGTTTGTCTGTGCGTAACAGCAGTCTTTTGATGGTTATTTACACAGTGTCCATAACAATAACTATGACAGGTAACAAACTGCACCGGGCTCGGGGTCAGGTTATGTCAGGAAAACTCACCTGCTCACCTGTGTGTGTGGCGGAACTCCGCAGTGCGCGATAGAGAGCAGAGGAGAACTGTTAACGTGTGACCATGTAGAGACAGAAATGACACGATGGCATAACACCATAAATAGTATATTGTTATGTTATTATATGAAGTGTCCGTTGCGCAAAATAATATGACTTTGGTTTATGAAGAGATAAGACGGAGCCCTCTCCTCTCCTCTTAGATACGTTACTTTACTCACAAATGTGTGAACTGACCTGGATATGAAGCATTGGTAGCGCCAAATAGTAACGGTTAAAGCGCTAAGATGGGGAAAGCAGCGGTCATATTTCAGCAGCGGCGGTGCACCGCTGCTAGTTGGGGAAACACTGCACTGCATGCTGTTTTCTCTCACACCACGTTTACACATAGCCGGGTATTTAGAGAAAAGAATATTTCCCCCCCTCCGTTTTCAATAATAACATCGTGCACACAACATCGTTTTCAAAAATGTTGTCATTTACATGAACCCGGATAAATACGCCGTCGAGCGCCGTCATAACTATGCCAAACCTATGGGCGGCAGTGTAGGGAGAAGGATGAAGCCATGCAAGCCAATCAGAATCCTTAGAATCGACAACAACAACAACGGCGGTCGGTGGTAGGCGGTTGGCACGGCTGGATTGTGACTGGACAGGAGATGGCAGAGGGAAGTGACGGAGGAGGAAGTAGTCTGGGAGAAATGGAATTTGATTTTGATCGCGGGGAAGGAGGAAAAAGGAGTGGAGTGAGGCGAAAGCGTAAGAAAACGAAACAACAGGGAGATCATACAAACTTTGAAACAGATAGTGAACGGAGTGAGGCTACAGGGAGGATCCAGGTAGAGGAGTATAAAGTCATGATAAAACTTCGGCAAGAGGGGGCATC